AGTTCCCGCCAAAACTCCAATATTTTTGTTAAATTATTAAGACCATTGAGTTATATGTACTACGTATTAGAGAAGCCATTCCGAACATTGACTATGCTCAACTGAACTATACTGCAATCCGTACACTAAACTAAATTGGTGAATTCCATAAGATAATTATTATTACATTTTATTTAGAAATATGTTTGTTTAGATTAAATTAAGATATTTTATATTAAATTCTTATATTAATTTTATATTAATATCTTTTATATCAAATTAAAGTCTCCACGAATGCGCGACTACTGCCGCGCATGCGCGAAGACATAGAGTAGGACACAATTTTTGTTTGGAATGGCTTCTCTAGTACGTAGTACATATAACTCAATGATTAAGACCTATTGTAACCCATATATCCCAAATGAATAAAATGAATTTGAATTTTACGCTGGTACGCATTTTTCTGTGAGAGCGTGGTTCTTTCCCTGTCGAGTCGACCCATTTGTGCTACAACTATACCACTAATATAGCTGCAGCATGGCTCTACCACGTTTAACATTAGGTATTGTAAATTTAATACATTTTGTCTTATTGCCGTTTAAGAGCAAATTGTAGGCGTTAAACCAATGTACTAATTTCGATAGAGCATTATTTACATCGTCATAATTAATTGACTGCCGTTTGAGTTTGAAGTAAAGTTACGTCCGACTTCATGTCTTCAAAATACATTTTTTTTTAATTTCTCAGACATGCACGTCTTCCTTCACGATGTTTTCATTTACCGCCAAGCACATGATACATTAGTAATTAGAACTGCAATTAACAATTTCATTGGTGCCAGCGGGATCGAACTCGGGTTGTTCAAGTACTATGAAATTTAGAACGAGAGTTTAAGTAAGCACAAATAGGTAGTATTATCGCTAAGCACCGATCCCTTCCAGGCAAACATTTCACGAAGAAAATTAATTAATCCCACCAAAATAAATATGAAAAGTTGGCCAAGTTCGGTACAAATAACGTTGGACGTTTGGGTTCGCAGTTTCGCTGCTTAATTCTTCTATACATTATGGCTTAGCACCGACTACAGAATGTGAAATTATTTTAAACTTTTTAGTTCTATAAAGGCAGCTTTTACTTTTTGTATAGTATTTTTTTAACAATACAAGATAAACCTTGATCACCATCTTACTCTTTTTTTATAAAACACTAGCAGATACCCGCGACTTCGTCCGCGTTGCTTGACATATTAACAAAGTTTTCGATATTATATACGTATATATATTACCTAGTCAGGTCATAAGTATTCACACACGGTAAAAATTTTTCTTTTAGAATGCTGGCCACAAAAAAGTTTATTGAATTCGAATTTCGAATTGTTCATGAAAATAAAACTATATACGAGGGTGGATTGAAAAGTACTCGGCCTAACCAAGAAAATAAACAAATACTAAATCAGTTATATTTTTATTTTTCTACATAATCACCATCAAGTTCAATACACTTTTGCCACCTCCCCTTCCAAGCATTTAGACCGTTGAAAAAAAATCATTCTTCCTTAGAGTCAAAATATGCGTCTACAGCTGCTTTGACCTCGTCGTTTGTCGAAAATCTTTGACCTCCCAAGTGCTTTTTTAGGTTAGGGAACAGAAAGAAGTCTGATGGTGCCAGATCAGGTGAATACGGCGGATGCGGTAACAGTTCAAAGCCACAGTTGTGAATTTCAGCCATTGACTGTACTGACGTGTGAACACGGGCGTTATCTTGATGAAACAGGACTTTTCTTCTGAGCATTCCCCGACGTTTTTCTTTTATTTCCTCTCGTAAACGACGTAGTAAGGTGCAGTAATAATCAGAGTTTATATTCTGACCCCTTTCAAGATAATCAATCATAATCACACCTTTCGAGTCCCAGAATACTGAAGCCATCACCTTATTTGCCGACAAAATCGACTTAGCCTTTTTAGGGGGTGGTGAACCAGGTCTTCTCCACTGTTTTGATTGTTGTTTTGTTTCCGGTGTACAGTAATGAACCCATGTTTCGTCCATAGTAACGAAACGATTCAAAAAATCATCTGCATCGGCTTCAAATAACTCCAAACAGTCGCGTGAAATAGTCAATCGCGTCCTTTTTTGTTCAACTGAAAGCAGTCGCGGAACCCACCTCGCAGACACCTTGTGGAAACCCAACTCGTTGACAATGATGTTTTGAGTTCGTTCATAAGAGATGCCTATAATCTCGGCTATCTCTCTAATTTTTAATCTGCGGTCTCCCATTATTAAATCAAGTACTTTTTTAATATTTTCGTCAGTAGTTGACGTCGAAGGCCTTCCAGAGCGGGGTTCATCTTTCACACTCTCTCTACCACGCTTAAATTCTGCTATCCATTTTTTGACGAATGAATATGACAGAGCACAATCGCCTAATGTACTGACCATGTCATCATGGATGGCTTTTGATGATAGCCCTTTCTTATGGAGGTACTTACTACTATTACTTAATGACGGCACGCTGCTCGATTTGCTCCATTCGCGGAAATTATGTCCGATTACTTTGTTAATAAATTTATAAAATCACAACTAATTATCGCACACGTTTCGAACTTCACACAATGAACTAGTCTGAACTGAACTAAATAATGTGGATAGATTTGATTTTTAGAATTGAATGGATCTGTGTTAGGCCGAGTACTTTTCAATCCACCCTCGTACTTTTTAGAATTTTACTCATTTTTAAATATGGAGTGGACGCTTAAAGAAGACCATGTTGCAGTTATTGCGTTGCATCGTTGCGGTTACGCGCCAATTCAAATCTTTGACATACTGAGATTCGTTTATCGTACCATCAAACGATACAATGAAGACTCTAGTGTAGATGACAGGTCAAGAAGTGGTCGCCCTCGGTCTGTTAGGACTCCAGCAGTGATAAAAGCTGTGAAGGCGCGAATTCAAAGAAATCCCAAACGTAAGCAGAATCTGTTGGCCCTTCAGATGGGGTTAAGCAGAACCACGGTGAAAAGGGTGTTAAATGAAGACTTAGGGCTTCGGGCCTGAATGGACCTGAGACTGAAGAGATGCCGCGCTTTGTTGAAGCGGTACGCGGGAAAAAATATCGGGAAATTCTTTTTTCGGATGAAAAAATTTTTACCGTAGAAGAGAGCTACAACAAACAAAATGATAAGGTGTACGCACACAGTAGTGAAGAAGCGAGCAACCGTATTCCGCGTGTCCAACGAGGTCAGTTTCCATTCTCGCTCATGGTATGGTTGGGAGTTTCTTATTGGGGCTTAACAGAGGTACATTTTTGTGAGAAAGGTGTAAAAACGAATGCAGTTGTGTATCAAAATACAGTCCTGACGAACCTTGTGGAACCTGTCTCTCATACCATGTTCAATAACAGGCACTGGGTATTCTAACAATATTCGGCGCCAGCTCATAGAGCGAAGAGCACACAAGACTGGCTGGCGGCGCGTGAAATCGACTTCATCCGGCACGAAAACTGGCCCTCCTCCAGTCCAGATTTGAATCCGTTAGATTACAAGATATGGCAACACTTGGAGGAAAAGGCGTGCTCAAAGCCTCATCCCAATTTGGAGTCACTCAAGACATCCTTGATTAAGGCAGCCGCCGATATTGACATGGACCTCGTTCGTCCTGCGATAGACGACTGGCCGCGCAGATTGAAGGCCTGTATTCAAAATCACGGAGGTCATTTTGAATAAACTTTAGCGTCATAAGAATCTATGTTTTGTTAAGTTCATTTTGGTATATAAATGGTTATATAATGAATAAACTTGTTTCAATTATTTTATATTAAACATGTGACAGAATTTATGACCTGACTAGGTATTATGAGGCAGAGGTAGAAGAGACTTCCCCTCTCCTACGCATGCACGCTACATTGCTAGCCCCACGTCTCCGCGGCAAGAAAACACTCATCACTAAACACGTAGTGCTTATAAAAATCGTTATTTCTTAAAACTTTAATAATTTAATATTAAATGAAGATATCGCAATATTTTTTTAGATAAGAGCCAAATGTCTAAGAAATAAAACTTAGAAAACATAATTGAAATCTATCCAGTAGTTATTCCGTGATGCGCGCACAATTTCAAATCTCTATCATTTTATTTATATAGAAGATAAATGACAAACGAACTTACAGTCTACCTACTGTTAAGTATGTACTGCAGTCCATGAACAGAGAACACACAAGGCAAACAAAAAAGGCTACAGATGAGTTGTCACCACTGAGGAATAGGATAAAATGGGATGGCTCTGATAAAAAGTTGATCCATACCCAGACCAGTTTAAAGAGGGTAACTGTTGTGAAAAAAATGTACTTGTGCAGAGCAACGACGGGGGCCTTGCGGAGCAGTGGAGAGTCTGCTGTGCAATGCATATGTTTGACGCGAGCGTGTTTAATAGTACTTATTTAATTAATTTTAAGCGCCGTTTTTGAAAAATATAATATCTACAATGGTGAATTACTGTTATAGTTATATGAGTTACTAAATAAAGTTAACTTCAAATGACTACATGTATACTGAAAACATCTATAAAAAGAAAGTGTCACGTGAGTATTTGGCAGTGCAATACTTGTAAATGTATTTTTTTCTTGTAGTAATAAAAAAATCTTGTTTAATGTTTATAAATTAATAACCTGTTATATATAAATGTTAATAAATGATAATGAGTATAATAATATCCAAAATTATTTTTGTCATTATCATTGACACAATTACTAAATTATAATAATAATAAAATTCTTGTAAATAATAGTTTTTTAATAAATAGAATATTTAATTTTCAGAACCCTCGTTATTTAAAATACTTACCCCATTATTTACCAATTGACAACATTTCCTGATAATTTCATTATTCTTCGTGGTATTGTTCTGTTATTTAGTTTCAAAACGGTTTTAATTTTTTTTAAATATTACGTATAAAACCGCTTTACTTGGTTAGAGCGAAAATCAAATAAAGCTTAAAAATATATCTATCTTTAGAAAATGATTACACACCTTATCGGTTAGTTTATTGAGAGCTTTAGCTGCCAATTCTCGTATCGCGCAATCCCAATGCTCTATTTTCAAATCGACGATGTGGTCAATAAGGGGCTGCGTGTACTCCGAGTAAGATGCAATTTGTGGGGCAACGACAAGGTACGCATTGGTCCGTGGACCAACGGACTGGAAGTCCGCTGTCGTAAGAACGTCGATCCCGTGAGGGAACATTCCGTGACGGCCTACATTCTCTTGATAAGCCGCTGAAGCAGCGCGACGACAATTGATCTGCAAGAAAAATTCATAATGCCGAAACAAAAAAAAATGACACGACGTGGGTGTCGTAAGAGGCCATTATGTAAAAAGTCAAAATGGTTCATGGTCTCCGATAGATGGCGGTATAACCATCTCGTTTACAACAGGCATAAAAATAGCCAGACCTGAGACGGGATTGAGCGTCAAATGTACGAGGCGTCTAGTAACGCATCTGCATTTTGATTATTAATTGAGGATAAATGTAGATGTCTATTGGCTACAGCATCCACGTACCACCATCAAGCGGACAGTATGCTCGTTTGTGACCTTTATTTTATATAAGATACTACGTTTGCGAAGTGTTTTTATTATAGCAAGTCCGTTCAACTATTGAAGAGGCTTTCTATTTTTTGTTGAAATGGGTATGTTTTATTGATTTCTATCAGCCTTGCGAATTATTCTTGTAGGGAACTGGTGTTCTTTAGTAAGGATTTGTGATCTGATCCAGACTGCACTGGACTGGACTTCCCGGTTCCCCGAGCGTCGACTCTTCACATCAGCTACGTATTTTTTTAAATGGTTATTTTTTAGTCTTAATAAAATATTTATAATTTCGGTAGCTCAAAATAAAACAGTTTATTTAAATGTATAGAATAAATGTGACAGTAGTAACAGCGATTTTTCATTACGATGTATTCGAAATTTTTAATGATTTTTGTTCTAGTACATTTGAGCGTAGTTTTTCGACAGCTGCATTTGTCATGGAATGTTACCTCGCGGTCGAAGCAGGCGGTGGCGGCGAGCGCATTGGCAAGCGCCAGCGCGTGCGGCGCCAGTGCGTGCGCGTCGTAGGCGCGCGCGAAGGCCCAGGCGGCGTGGCAGGCCGAGTCGCGCGCCGCGCGCCCGCCCGCGCCCCCCGCGCGCGCCTCGTCCCGCGCCAGCGCGCGCACCACGCAGCGCGCCGCCGCGCCCAGCTGCTGCGGCGACAGCAGCCCGCGCCGCGCTACACACAACCGACCCCCTTTAAGACTAGACTCACACATCTGGAATGTCTCGTCAGAATTCATAATTTGAATTCCGGCAAGCTGCCTCACACATATCTTCAAAATTCAGATAAATCAGTCGTTTCGCGTTTCTCGGCTCAGGCACACGTCTCGGATATGGAAGAGGAATTAATACTTGTCGCACTACTTTTAGGTTTAAATAATAATAAACCTAGCAAGCTAACAGCATAGCAAAGTGGCGAAGCAATCAGCTTTGTAGCGGTTTCTAACGGTTGCCGTTGAGCAATCAGTTTCAAAATAGGAGGTTCAGATGCCTGGGTGATCAGTAATCGATTGCTGAAAACAGAATTTGAAAATTCGAAACCGTTCTCGAGATAATCGTGGGACAGACGGACAGACATCGTGAAATCAATAAGTGACTTCGCAAGCTTCGCCACTTAATAAAAGAAAGACGCAAACGAATACACTGGCTCCATCCTCTTAATGTGATCAGAGTAAGGGAAAGTCAGTTCTACAATACAACTTTTTTTACGTGGTAGAGCCATGCTGCAGCTATATTTGTAGTATTTTTTTTTTTATTGTAGCACGAATGGGTCGGCTAGACCGGGGAAGGACCACGCTCTCACAGAAAACTAGCGTAAATTAGCAGCTTAACGCTGCTGTGTTTCGTATGGTGAGTGTAGAGAACCGGAGACCCTTTTTACTGGCAAAGAGGCATTCCATCTTAGTCCTCACGGGTGACAACGCATTTACATCTTGAGTCTTTATTGATGATAGATGTAAATGTCTATGGGTCACAGTAACCACTTACCATCAAATGGACTGTGTGCTCGTTTGTCACCCTATCCTATAAAAAAAAACTTCACAAGTTGCAACACATCTAACCATTACCGCTCGCAGTGTCAACTGAAATAATTCATAATCTGATTCCGTTGTATGTGTGTGCTCGCGTGTTCAAACGTATAAAAAAACGCGCTGGACTCACACATCCGCAATGCCTCTCTGAATTCATAATCTATATTCACATTATTAATTAAGAAAGCCCAGAATCGCATACAATTTAACTATGCACATTCTGATTTTATCACATTATGATTTTCTCAGATCGTACTGTAAGAATGACTCTGACGAGTGTTCTATAACAGTCAGCCACCAAAGGCGTCTAGACTGGGCAATCGTGCTGTGCGGTGTGGGGCGAGACGTGGGCGGAGCGCTCCCGAACGGTTATTAGGCGTTCGGGAGCTAACCAGTATGGCTATTTTGTCATATTACAAATAAATTAAATAATTCACACTACGTATGCGGTAAAAACGGCGGTATAACAGATACTTAAATTCTAGTAGCTCTAAACTATCGAAACCATAAATCAGTTGCACATTTGTAAACATGTTTTGACGTAATCCCAATAGAGTGGTGGAGTTAGTTAAAAACAAATAAATATTTAATGCCACTTAATAATGCGATAGCTAAAAAACTAACATCCGTAAAAATATGGGCGATATTAAAGATGTACATTTTAAAATTTTCTTCACCGACTTCTTCCCGCAAAATGGAGAAATCGGCAAATATTAACTTACTTTGACTATAATTTAAAGACGTGATTTTGTGTGTATGCCATCTTTGTCTATTCAACTTGTACTAACATGTATTCAAATAAAAACATAGTGTTAAATAGGTTGTTATGACTCAAAAATACGTTATAAGCTGTTTATATTGTATGTATTTGACAGTTGACTATTTTTTATAAATTTTTTTGCAACTGCGTATTATAACCTATCTTTATTATTTCTGAACACCAATTGTCTGATTAAGTTATTTAATTTATTTAAATGTGGAATAAAAAAAACAGTTTTTAATTTTTTTTTTACTACTTCCTGTTCTGACAACCCTAGCAATTTATTGTTTATGACGGCTTTTCCGACAATATCAAACGCTATGACTAACTGTATGTTCCTCTCAGGCTGTGCCTACGCCTCCGACCATAAAGCTCATTTACACGTATTATTACTTTATCGAGGCTGATTTACACAAATCAACTCGTTAACTTTTTGATGACTTACTGCATCTAAACAAAGCTTTTAGGAACAATTGCAAGTTAAAGTTGGGCTTATAGAATATAATTTTGTCTTTTTGTTTACTACATCCCTTACATTCCTACTAGGGATGACTAATCTAAATGAACAAACGGTATGTTTGGCGGAGCGTTACATTCGTAACTCATATTTTTGAATAGAGTTTACTGAAAAGATATTTTTTTTATATCCTATACCACTTCTACAACTTACACGATTTTAAGAACACCCATGTGTTAAGATCCATTAAGCAATTTAGGCTACGTGCCAGCGTATATATACATACATACACTCGAAAAACATTACGCTTCTTTTGGGCAGTCGGGTAAAAAAAAAAAATTTTTATCTTATTATAAGCCAATGTTTGACCACAATCCCACCTGGTGGTAAGTGGTGATTTAGCCCTAGATGGTAAATCACACTGTGTTAGCGTAAATAAAGCCTATTCACTCTTGCCTTGAAGACGCCCAGATTGCATTCGGACGGAAAGATTGACGCCGGAAAATATTCCACTCCTTTGCTGTACGCAGTACAAAAGAATATCCACAACAAAGGGGTGAAGACCCTTTTCCACCATTGGTTATTCAATGGTGGAAAGGGGATGGAGGAATTAAAGCCTGTAATTCCAGCGCACACTTACCGAAATGTATCCTATAGAAAGATGCTGGCTACTCCGCGCCTGTGTTCGAGGCTGACAATATTGGTTTCTACCAAATCAAGGTTACCAATGAGCCTCTTAGCACGTCTCTCCACTGAGTCCAACGCTGCCAGGTGGCATTTTACAGCTCTAGCCCATATGGGACAGCAGACCTCCATTCACGACCGGACTTGCGCTTTATATAAGGTAAAAGCTGCCTCGGCGTGAAGTACCGTCGCACCCATGCAAGGGCGCTTATGTTTTGAAGGCGTTGAATCTCACAAGATTGGCATTGCCCCATTCGGAGACTGTCTGTAATGTGAGATTCGCATGATTGACTATGATGAGAAACTATGTTCTTTTTCGGACTGGATTTGATTCCGACTGGCCCGAGCATTCGGCTGGTACCTCGCCACAAGTGTGCTATCACCTATATACCCATAGATCATCATCATCATCATTACAGCCCTTCACAAGTCCACTGCTGAACATAGGCCTCCCCCAAAGAATGCCACAAAGCACGGTCCTGAGCCACCTGCATCCATCGACTTCCTGCATGTCTTACCAGGTCGTCACTCCATCTCGTGGGGGGACGCCCTACACTTCGCCTACCGGTACGAGGCTGCCACTCGAGAACCTTTCTTCCCCATCGGTTGTCGGTTCTTCGAGCTATATGGCCGGCCCACTGCCACTTCAGCTTACTAATTCGTTGGGCTATGTCGGTTATTCTGGTTCTACTGCGGATATCCTCATTCCTAAGTTTATCACGCAGAGAAACTCCGAGCATAGCCCTCTCCATAGCACGCTGAGCGACCTTGAGCTTCCTCATACGGCCAGCAGTGAAGGACCACGTCTCAGTTCCGTAAGTCATCACTGGCAACACGCACTGGTTGTACAATTTCGTTTTAAGGTTTTGAGGTATGTCTGACGAGAATATGTGTCGTAGCTTCCCGAACGCTGCCCAGCCGAGTTGAATCCGTCGATTGACCTCTCGGTCGAAGTTGGACTTACCTTGTCGGACAATTTGTCCCAGGTAAACATACTCGTCAACAACTTCGAGCTTAGTGCTCCCAACAACTACCGGCATAGGTGTGACATGGACATTAAACATGATCTTTGTTTTATCCATGTTCATCTTAAGACCTATCCGTTGGGAAACACTATTGAGGTCATTGAGCATAGTGCTTAGGCCCTCCAGCGATTTTGCCATAAGGACTATATCGTCGGCAAATCGAAGGTGAGTGATGTACTCGCCATTGATGTTGATACCGTATCCTTTCCAGTCCAGAAGCTTGAAAACGTCTTCCAATGCAGCGGTGAAGAGTTTCGGGGATATGACGTCACCCTGTCTTACACCTCTCTGCAATTGGATAGGTTTCGTACTCTGGTTCTGTACTCGGATAGCCATCGTAGCCCTACTGTACAAGCACTTCAACACTTCGATATACCAACAGTCAACTTGGCACCGCTGAAGGGACTGCAGCACCGCCCAAATTTCGACGGAATCAAAGGCTTTCTCATAGTCCACATACGCCAGACATAGTGGCAAATTGTACTCTTCGGACTTCTGTACAACTTGCCGAAGGGTATGTATGTGGTCTATGGTGCTAAAGCCCTTTCGGAAACCGGCTTGTTCGGGAGGCTGGAAGTCGTCAAGTCTGCGCGCGAGACGATTCGTAATGACTCTCGAAAACAGCACGTAGACGCGGCTCAGAAGGGAAATCGGTCTGTAGTTCTTCAAGAGAGCGTTGTCACCTTTCTTGAAGAACAAGACCACCGCACTTCTGCTCCACGCCTCCGGTGTAATGCCACCATGGAGGACGGAATTAAAGAGCCTCTGAAGGACTTCAAGTACCGGTCTTCCACCCGCTTTCAGAAGCTCCGCTGTAATTCCATCCTCGCCTGGGGCCTCACCGTTTTTAAGGTGCTGGAGAGACATTCTAATCTCGCTCAGACTGACGTCCGGGATATCTTCGGAATAGTGTCGGATGAGACTCGCTCTTGGATCGTTACTCACACTTGCGTGTGGCTCCAACGATGACGTGTACAGCTGCCCATAGAACCTCTCAATCTCACTCAAAATCTCAGGTGTCCCGGAAACGATGCTGCCACATTCGGTCTTCAGCTTTGACAGTTGGCTCTTTCTGGCAGACAGATCTCTGGCAAAGACTTTGGAGCCTTGGTTCCGCTCTATCGCTTCTTCAATACGAGCTGTATTGAAGTTGCGTAAGTCCCGCCGCATGCATTTGGAGATCTGTCTGTTCAGATGCCTGTATGCTGTCAAGTCTGT